GTTCTGGGGCTGTCTTAATTTTAAAGCTCAAGTGTCTCATTTCCACTTTGTTTGTACCTTCACACACGTCCGCTGCCTGTTCTGTTTACCCCTTAACTGTAGGGCTAAGTGCGAGACAAGCTTCAGGAAGAGCAAGCTGGGTCAAGCTAAACAGACGTGAAGTCCTTCATTTAGGACTGACCTGGATGGACTCCTCCATCAATGTGTGTACACAAGCCTTGGCTGCTCGTGGTTCTTCCTGCCCCCAGCAGCTATGTTTGTACAGCACCTAAGACGAGGGCACCCAGGGCTGGGAGGAGGGCTGCTCAGCCCTCCCCAGGACATGCTCACACCAGTACGGTTGCCAGGTCTGCCCTGAGGACTCCGTTATTCCCGGAGATCCCCACAGAGCACTCTGATCAAAGATGCGTGGTACGACCTGGTTGCTAGTATTGATTGGTATCTCTGGTGCAAGGCAGTGCACAAAATGGTCATTAGGGGATTAACTTGCAGTTCCTCTTACTGTCCTGTTTTCTATATGCAACATGAGGTGCCAAAGAGTGCCTCAATCCATAGATAGGGTAAGCAAATTCCTTCCTATGTGGGGCTAACTGCACTCAATGCCTCTGGAAAACCTGATGATAGAGGTGCCTCTCATGCACACCGCCTGGTACTCCCTTCTTCCCCTTCACAGATTTCCATCCTTTCTACTGGCTTGCCCCAGAATAAGTGCATTATCCCACTTGAAGGGAATGACCTAACTGACTTCGATCAAGTATTTTGTAATGACATGCAGCACTTGCCTGTGAACTTTCTGTCACGGCAGGATTATGAACAGTGCTTGATAGTTCTCCACTGGCTTCTGTTCACCCGTTTTCTAATTTGCTTCTCATCTGCGCCTCATTATATGTTCAGATTTCTGTTAGTTATCTGCTGCGATATCCCATCTTTAGCAAGCTACCATTTTTCCCCAGATTAGTGTTCTTCCTGATCCCGTAAAAATTACTCTGCGTTGCTCATTTTACCTCAGGATACCTTCCCCTCATGGAAAACTCCTTCTCCAATATCTCGTTTCAACTTTTCTAAGGAAAATTTGATTTTGTGTCTGCGTCCAACATTGAATCTCTCATACAAACTATCAATCTAGTCAACCCAAATAGGATAAAACAATGACAGGATGAGAAATAGCTTTACACAAACCAATTCTTTTGTAAAACATCAGGGCATAATTGCAAATGCTATTGTTTTTTTCAGGGCTGTGGTAGAGTCTGTCACCACAGCTTTAGTCAGAGAATGACACAGGGGACGCAAACCAGGGGAGTTGAACATGGCCATTCATTTCCAGATAATAATCGGACGTCCATTCCAGGCATTAAGACATCTGAACCTACTCACTATTTCAGTAAGTAGTGTGGTTTGCTGTAGAGAGAAGCCCTTAAGTAAAGAGATTGCAGAAATTTTTGGTAGAGGACATTCACTTAATGGCCTCAGAAAAGGTCTGTGAAGAATTTATTTCATTTTCAGCTGCTGTTTCTAGTAGTTGTATAAGCTCAGACGGGGTTGAGCAGAACAGTTTACGACAGCTACTGTGCCCTTCAGTGGTGGGCCAGCCCTTAAGGCATGCCAGGCTGCAATGGAGAGCCTTCCCCCTCAAGCTCCTCTATTAAGGGAACTAGACAGGCATGTTTGTGGTCTCTCTTCCCAGACAGCTTTTTTACAGGATCCAGGCTCTAATGAATCTCAAGATGAGGCACAACAATAAGGAACACGGGAGACTGGGCCACCGACACGTAATTGCAGTTATTCCCAGGTTCCTGGGAAACCCAGTGTAGCTCAGAGCTGATCCAGAGCCTGACAGAGAGTCAGCAGAGAATTTATTTTATCCCTTTCAGCTCTTCAGAAAGACCGCCTGGAAATCCGATAGGATGTCAGTCCCGGCCCACCCTTCTTTGCAGGGCTGAAGCATTTTGTTTGTGGCAGCCTTTGTTTGGCAGGGGGGAGAGGGGAAGCAGCTGCTGGGTCTTTGGTTAGACAGAAAAAGCTTTCGGTGATGCTGGCTTGGAGACTGATGTTTCTGTCACTGATACTGGCAAATCCGGAGACATTTTATCCTGGCAAAGTTCCCTGCAGGTTGGGGTTCAGAGCTCTGGTCCCCCCAACAAGGGGACGGGAGGGCAGCCGTCACCTACTCGGTCGCCTGGCCTCCAGCATAGGTGCAGAGGCACAGAAATACCCTGGTTAGCCTCAGAGAGGAAGAACTGCAGCTGTATAATAACTGGGTGCCAAGCCACAAATGCCTGAGGGGAAATTCTCGCGGAGAGCACCTGGCTGAACTGGAATATGGTCTATCTTTTCTACGGATGTAAATTCTAGTCCTTATATTGTTCATCACCCAAGGAATCGTACCTGACCTCTTACCTCCTTCAGGCAGAGCCCTCACCCAAGCCCAGGCAGAGCCAGCCGTATAAAGACTGGACCTATGCACATCTCCTGCTCGGGTGTTTCTAGCTTGCTCTGCTTCTGTGATTCTGCAGCAGAGTGCAAGTTACAGCAGCTCCAGTATCTCCCATAACCAGGGGAGTGCAAAAGAGTTGTTGTAAAGCCCCTTTGATTTCTCCTTCTGCAAGGAGGAGGTGGGGGGGATTCACTTGGCCAGAAGGTAACTCTTGGGATTTGCTGAGGGGCTTGGGAAACTAAAGCTAGCAGCTAATCTAATCTGGAGTCTGTCCCACAGTCCTTAATTTATTATCTGGAAATTTGGAAAACGCAAGTATCTCTAATTAAAAACAAGAACGATTTGTGTGTCATGGTTAATGCAGATTTATTTCTGACAATATAATAAATTCAGCACAGATTGGAACCAGCTGCCCTAGCTCTAAGTACCTGAAGTTCCCTCTCCACATCATCAGGCCTGGGACTCGGATGCAGTTGTGCCATAAGTCTCACTGGCCAAGGGGACAGATCAGCATTGTCCTTGCTTACGCAAGGAAATAAACGCTCCGAGGCAAGGACTGGCAAGGGAGCTTGGTCATGGAAAACATGAGAGCCAAATCAATCTACTTAAAAAGTGATTGATTCCTCTAGTGCAGAGAGGAAGCAGGAACAGGGCTTATGGATATATGGGAACACATTTTATTAAGAAATAGTCTCTTTGACTAGCATCCTTCAATAAATCTTCATTTGGGCTCCGGTCATTCCTGAAAGTCATAGCGCAGAGAAGAACATACCCTATTCTAACTGGAAGATAGAGGCACACAAAGGCAGAGACGCTGATCTTCCCCAAACCTCAGCTCTGCCACCACGTGCCCAGTCTCCTTGCATCCAGGCAAAACACCCAAAAGCAGTAACCCCGAAAAGGAACCTGCAGCTTTCCACCACTCCAAATACACAAAGTCTTTTTCACATCCAGGGGCTGAACAGGCTACTTCCCTTCACCCCCATTTCCCTTCTTCACCATCTCATCTATTTGGATTCTAAGATCTCTGGAGCAGGACTATCTCGCAGGTTACAGCTACAGAGTTTTTTATTGCCACCTGGGGAAAAGCTATGTATATATTGGAGTTTTTGGTCCACATGCCTTCCCTCTAGGCAGTCCATGCGCCTCATGTAACTACTCAGTGAAGTGGTAAGACACCAGCTTTGATTATTACCCCAGCTATGGGAGAATCTGTATTGCGCTGAGCTCTCCGCACAGATACCAGATAAATCATTGGCGTCCTCCTTCCTGACAGTTGTGAAGAGCTCTTCCTCCACAGACCTTGAGATGCTTATCACAGAGAAGCATAGAAGGGGTCAGGGAAAGATTTTAGCTGAAAATACCTTACAATAAAAGACCTTTCGTTTCTTTCCTTTGTAAATGTGGAAGCTGCATAGTCAGCATTTCCATTTACAATTTGATGATATACAGTCAGACAAAAATTCTCATAGGAAATAGGTTGAGATGATCATTTGGAAGAAGAGAAAAAGGTATTTTTGAAAACATGTCAGTTTCTTCTAAATTTCATTTTTCTCTTGAGCAACTCAGCTGCTGGCCACAGCATTTGGTCCCTGTCAGGCAAGTCAACTCCAGCCAGAACATCTAAGTACAGCAAAGAGTTTTGTTGTATTTTTTTCAAAATCAACTGTTGTAATCACTAGAGAGTAAAGCGTCAGGTAACATGGTGCTTTTTTGCAGCAGAGTAGGTTACTTTCAGCATGCTCCGGCTATCACCAAGAAGAGGCATTATGCGCATTTCAACTACGATAAGTTACAACTTAAAAACATTTGCATAAAACCAGCTGCATCTCCTCCACCTGGAGGATATTCTGTTGGCAGATGCCGTAGAAACAACAAGTTCTCAGGCAGGAATTACACTACAAGATCAAGAACACTTTGGCTTTATTACACCATGAAAGAGCATAAATTCAAGAGACGGTCAACCAAAATAGTCAACAGAGCACATTTAGTGATGAGCAAACCCTGCTGAGTTTTCTTTCACATCAGTTATGCTTTGCAGACCGGTTCTTTGCAACAGGACTATCAGCCACTGCCACAAAACAGCATGTTTTGCTTATCCTTGCACTGATACAACTTCCCTGAGCTCTTTCTTTAACAGAGCAGACTTCACACACACACAGATTACTCATTTTTTTTTACTAATACTGAAACACTGTCAGCATTTTCAGCTAGATAAATCTCTTCCAGACACTGTCCTGTGTTAAACTTACTGCTGCATTTAACACTACTCACAGCTGTATTTCAGTAAACAGCAAATTAATTCTTGCACAGGCTAGTTTGCCAAAGTCCCTGGGAGCTTTTAGGCCATCAGACATTAAACCGGAAAATATTGCAGGGAAAAAAACCCAAACAGTTAAACATAGAATCCCTTACCTGCTGGGAATTGTGGAGGCACAGCCAACAGCAGCCCACTGCAATGACCACACTGGGGCCAAAAGACCTCAGGTTTGCCAAATTTAAAGGCTCAGCCCCAGCAAGGCATGCTGGGAAAGGGAGCAGTTCTCCTCTGAGCGTAGTGGGGTGCATGGGGAGAGGGGACAACAGCAACTGCAGTAGGTTCCGGTTCTGAAGCACTCTTGAAAATGACTTTTGTGGAGGTTGGAGGGTGAGAAACTTGGATCTGAGCTGATTTAGTCACAAAGAGAAGGTTACTTGTTGAAATGCAGCTCCAGCAAGTGACAGATGCGTACCCCCAGCTTCCCTGCGGGCAGGCCTCCACACGGCCAAGCACCGCAGCTCTTCCTCGCCTCTCCTGACCGCGTGCCAGACCCAGGCGGGCAGCGTGAGCTGTGGTCTGCTGTTCTGTCTGGCCCGGGCTGGGAGCGATGCTGTGGGGTCAGGCTGCAGCTGGTGTTGCTGTCACACATGTCCAGCCTGGCAGCCCTTCTCTGTATCGTGTCATGAGATCTTGGAGGCATCCTCCTTCCCATGCATAACTCAGTCTTGGAGGGAAATTTGAATTTTGAGATGTGTGAGCCTGGTGTGATCCCATAGGGGTCTGATCCTGCCACGGTTGTCCCAGTGCTGCCTGTTTAGAAGGCATCTAGGTGACGTGCTCCCTGGGGGAGCTGCCTTTGGAAGGCCCTTCTCTGCCTGGGGTGGTGAGGAGCCAGGTTCTCCAGCTAACCGTGCTCTCTTTCTGTCAGGACAGTAGTGAGGCAGCAGATGGAGCTGGCCCCTGGGATGAAGAAGTCACCAAGTGGTGGGGAGAGTGGAGCTCCTGGTCCACCTGCTCTCGGTCCTGTGGGGGAGGCGTGATGTCCCGGGAGAGGCACTGCTTGCGACAGAGGTGAGTCGTGTCCCAGCCTGCACCCTGTGGCCAGGCCTCAAGCACCAGAGGGGAAATATGGTGCCCTTGACCTGCATTTTTGGGCCAAACCTCCGGGGTTTGCATGGTCGTTCCTTCTCTCTTTTGCAACCTCTCAGAAAGGAAGGCGGCTATTGCCTATGGGGTAGGCAGTGAGCAGGCAGTGGTGGGAAGGGCTGATGAGGGAGAAGCACGCTGCAGTGGGGCAGATGACAGGCCCCCTAAAGATGTCACTTGCTCAGCCTGGCTCCTCCGATGGGGAGCAAGGGTTGGTCCCCTCTTGGGGTCTGTGAGAGACTTGAAGATGACGGGGTTGTGGGCTGGAGAGGACTAGCTCTATTCCTCTTCCCTTTTCTTCCACAAACCTTCGCTTACCATGGCTGCTCTGACCGACCTGACCCTGATTTGTAGCCAGTTCCTGTGCTAAGAATGTGGGTACATATTTCCAGACACCTTCTGGGAACTTGATTTACTCCTGGCAGCAGCCAGCTCAGCCACGTCTCAGCAATTTCCCCTCTTTATTCCCTGCAGAGCTTGCAAGTCTTTTTCCCTCTGTCGTTTATCTGGCTGTCACCTGACAGCATCTCCTTTGTCCCCTACAGTCACATTTGTCCCCTACAACTGCTACAGTCCTGGTAATGGTTGGACAGGGTTTGTGCGAATGGGGAGAGCTGGGAAACATCAGCTGCCTGAAATCCCACTGTCTCCTCTTGGTCACCTTGCCACCAAGCCCTCCTCCTCCTCGGGCACCTCACTAACCTGCTACTCCAGGCTCCTGAGATGTTAATGAGAGCTGGCACCCTGCAGCACAGCAAGCCCATGGGGGCTGCCCGCTACATGCTTGGCCCCTTTGCCTTCTGCGTGAATGCACTCCTGAGCGGAGCAAGCTCAGACTAGGGCCCCCACCTGCCCTCTTTCCTGCAGCAGAAAACTTCTTTTATGTGGGCTGGTTGGCAGCACAGCAAGGGTCCAGGTGTGCTGCAGTACCTTCCCTCTGGACATGGCCTCCCTGCTAACTGGGCTTGCCAGTGTCTCTGCCGCTGCTCCTCCTCCCCAGCACACCGTGGCCATCTTGGGAGAGCAGTGGGAAACAAAGGGCGGGAGGGAGCCTGGGGCTGTCCCACACCCCCACACAGCCAGAACAGCCCTTCTGCCCTTTGCCTGCTGCCAGAAGAGAGATCTTTCTCTCCATTTGGCATCTTCTCTATCCTTGACTCCACAGCTGGGGAGGGGAAGGCTTTGGTGTGGCATTTTACTCCAGGGTTCAAGTCTGAATTTAAAATAAAAAGCCCAAGATAAAACCTAGCCAAAAGGTTTCTGCAGCTTTAAGGAGAACAGCTTAAGCATAAGCCAAGTATGCCCACAAAACAATTTCTGCCTGAGTCTGCAGGCAGTCTCTGTTTCAGCTGAAAGGAATGGCAGTTTTCAAGCCTTTTGGTGCAAATTTAGGCTTTGCCTACATTGTGTAAAGCATTGCTCTGCAGTATCTCTAGCCAGTCCAGCTTGAATATGCCTATGGAGTTCTTCATTACACAGTGCATCCTAAGGTCCCAATACTGTTAATGCATTGTCTACTGCTGTTCTTTACACAGACCACATTGCCTTAGTCTGTGGTCTTCAGCCATTCTCCCTACATCTTCCCAGCTTTTAAGAATTTTTTCACCTTTGCATCAGTCAAGAACTCCAATATCCCCTGCTGGCCAGAGCTAAAGCATTGTGTTGACAAATTCCCATGGTTTAGGTCTATCATCTGCACCAAGCCTTTCCTGCTAATCTTTTAAGGTGGCCAGTCCCCATGAGAGGTGCCATCTCCCTGCCTACTGCACAGTGAATCCTGAAATCAATTCCCCTGGTCACTGCAAATCCTGGGCGCTTCTGTGGGAGTTCTTCAGGGTCTATTGTCCTTTTGTCACATCAGCCCTTTTGGAGCTGAGAGGTAACGGGACACAGTGGTGGTGATACTGCCGTTGCTCCCCGTCCTGCCCCAAAACAAGAGTAGTCTAAAATCACAGTCCACCTAAAAGCACTGAAAATGTGTTTCAGAGGAGATGTTGGCTAGCCTAGATCCAGAAAGCTTTGCTCCAATAAAACGCCTGCCTTGCTTCTCCCCATTAAGTCAGGCCTGACTTCTCTGTCATCCTCAATACCTTAGTACTTCACAGACCTCCAGCTCATTTTCTTTCTGCTTTGCAGGCTCCAGATGCCCCAGGGAACAAACAGCACCATGTGTGTTGGTCAAGCCAAGCACTACCAATTGTGCCAGCAGCAGGTGAGAACGACTTCCAGTGCTCACTGGTCATCACTGGGGCATGCGGGCCTCAGGGGGCCACCCTTGGAGCTGCAAGAGCACCAGCACTCAGGGTGTGACTGGTCCATCAGAGGAGTGCAGACAAGGGGCACGATCCACTCCTGGAGGGGTTGACGGCGTGCCTTTGAAGGTGTGGGAGATGGGCTCTACTCTCTGGGACTGAGAGGTGGGGGAAAAGGATATAAAAACATACTTGTTGTGGGGTGGGGGGAGGGACGAAGTTTTTCCAGTATGCTTTTCCCTTCGCTGGAAGTAATTTTTGCAGGACTGTTAAATACAGCTGTCTGAGGGGCCCTTGGCGATGGAGGCCTGGCCTTTCTGCCTGTATTACGGCACCTCAGAGTCCATCACTGATTCTTTCCAGGGTTGACAGGGCATTTTCATCCTCCAAGGATGCAGCAGGGACAAGGAGCTGTCACAACTATGGCTGTGACATAGGGAGCTATTGACCACATTTATTCCCTCCATAGCCCTGCCCAGCCAACACAGCAAGCTTCAAACAGCAGCAGTGCTCCGGTTTCAATGCCAAAGCCTTTGGGAAGCGCTACTATCACTGGATGCCCCTCTATCCAGGTGGGTTTTCACAGCTTCACACAAAAGATCAGGGTGAGAAAACACCCACAGGATCTTCTCAGACACAGGAGAAGGGAAGGTCCCAGGGGACAAGGGATGGATGCTCCTGGCTGGTCTGGAAGTGCTTCCCTATGCTCCCTGCTTTGGAGAAATCGTTCCCTGTCTCTTCACAGAACCGTTCCACCCAGCCAGGCCTCCTCTCTCACCACATTGCTCCTGTTTTGGATCCTACATCAGCAAGCACTGGTGGGCAGACAGGACACAGGCTTCTCTGAGTTGTCTTGGCTAACCAGCAGTCATCTTGGCAGAGTGGGTGTTCACGCTCTTTGTGCCTTCTACCATTTTGGCTGCCTCTGTCACCCAGCATGCTTCCTACTGGGTTGGTGGTGGGTTGTTCTGAGCAGGATGTTCATCAGTTTCCTGCACAGGCAAGACAAGTTGCTTCACATGGGTTGCCAGGTGGCCCTTGAGGCCCAGATTCAGCTCACCAGAGATATTACCCTCTTTCTGGACCCACTTGTTTTTCTCTTTCCATTAGCTGCCAAGGGGACATAGAACATCTGCATCTCTAGCTTCAGCTGCTCAGCTGGATGGAGTGTAGCTGGCCACAGCCCCACACAGTCGGTACCCCTCTTACACGTCTTGCTTGCTCTTGTGTATTTATGTGTGGCCTGGGATCTGCTGATACAGATTCCCATGTCTGGCACAGGGGATGGCACTGCAAAGGGGAGAGGGTATGGCAAGGATGAGGGTTTGCCAGCAAGAAGCATTTCTGCTAGGCATGGTCCCCAGCTGCAGCCTCGTACCATGACCCCTTTACTACTACAAAATCTGTAGCCTTGGGGTCTCATCTCAAGCAGCAAAAACATCCAAGGTGATATCAAACCATCCGTATGGATAAGAGGAAAGTCCCCTTCCTCGCTGCCCATCTTTGAGCACCTTGATCTGCCTGGTGACTTTCTGCCTCTGTCCCTTCAGATGACTACACCAGTATCTCCAACAAGCCATGTGACCTCCAATGCACCACCCAGAGTGGAGAGAGGCAGCTGATGGCCCGAGCACAGGATGGTACCTCCTGCAAGGACAGGACCTATCAAGGGGTCTGCATCAACGGGAAGTGTGAGGTGAGGCTCTGGGAGGAAGTAGTACAAAAATTGGTGTGTAAGTGCACAGCTGGACCTCCTGGTCATCGCAAGGCCAGGGGGCTCAGTAGGGAATCTGAAACTGAGGCCTGGCGTGGAGTAATTACATTCACTCTTGAATGCCTACGGACTAGAGGAGAGCGGAGAGGTTCACACAGAGGGAATTACATACATCCACATGTTCCCACTGAGTGACAGCACTTTCTTCACAGCACAGAGAAGACTAGAATTGCAGGTTTGTTTACATAGTCGTCCAATTTAAAAAAAAAAAAATCTTCAATTTGATTTTTCACCTCATATGGCAAGGATGAAGGGTGGTTGTATATAGTGTTACAGGGAGGTGCCTTACAACCTCGGAAAGGCCTGCCGTTGATGCAGCATCTCCTGGAGGGTGGTGATGTATGTCACTATTTCAAGGATTGGCCTAAATACAGAGACAGAAGGAACCAAAACAGCTTACCCAAGTCTTACTCCATTCACCTACATGCACAAGCCCCTGCCCCAGGTTCAGGGGCACAATGTAGATGGTCACAAGTTACACAGGTGAATTTCTGCTGCTGTTGGATTCATTCGTTACTCCACTCCAAGCTAACCTACACCCCCCACCCCAGAACCTCACCAAAAGAGCATGGTAGCATTTCCTTGAAAAGACCCTGACCTGTGGAGATAAGCTAGCCCCAGGAAACCCTCTCTTGTTTTATTCTTTGCAGCCAGTTGGGTGCGATGGGAGCCTGTACTCGCCCCGGACGATGGACAGATGCAGGGTGTGTGGAGGGGACGGCAGCACTTGCCACCGTGTCTCGGGCAGCTTCCGAAAGGCAATCTCACAGATAGGTACTCCCTGCTACCACAGTCCGGAGACTTCACCTACTACTTCTTACCACCAGCTGGCGTGAAGGGTGACTGGCTTGAACACGAGTAGGAGTTCCCCAGCTGCTTGGTGGAAAGAGCTGAAGAGTGCCACCCCTGCTTAAATGCCTGTGTTTTGTCCTTTTCACTTAATCAGCAGAGGAAATTGGTTTGATGTGCTGTATATTAGGCTGATAAGGTTTCCCTTCACCTCTTTACAATAGGAAGCAGCTGGGGATCTATTTGTTCCTATTGATTTTGGCATCTTGCCCACCTCAGATATTGCGAAGAGATCAATGAATCTTCTTTTATTTGTGCTATGTCTTCATCTGAAACTTAAGCTCCTATGATGAGGGTCACTGTTTTTTTCAGCCTGCACGTAGTCTCCTGCTTTCCCCAGTCCTATGGCTGGCACAGCTGAGGGACAGTCCCTCTGAAACTGGGCTGAGATTCATCCCTTGCAACATCATGGCTCATTACTCCACCCAAAGAAGGAATAGACTGTGGTATGCTCATTAGTAATTAATTAACTGTGGTTTGAGGGTGCTTTGGAACATCATTTCACATTGTTTCACTTGTCTGCCTCGCTCTCTACAGACACCGGACTAGAAAAGCACTCAGGCCCCTTTCCAGAGAAGGGGTAATGGTGCTAACCCCTCTAGCAGTACAGATACAGTTTTGGCCTCCCATTCCAGTCCTTATAAAATCTTACAGAACGGGCAAGACCTGCATTTCTAGCAGGAAAGACAAGCTGCCAAACCACGTAATTTAAGAGCCTTCTTATTTCCTCTCCCTTTAAAGGTCAATTTTTATGCTACTCCTGAGACAAATTCTGTTGAGTCAGGAGCTGAGGGGATCTATGGTCTTTTCCATCCTCTGTTCAGCATCAGCCCTGATGACTAGTAAGCTTTTTCTGTCCTCTTGCCAGAAAGAGT